GTACAACAGATCAAAGTGCAGAAAAACCAAAAGGTGAGGGACCAACAGTGTCATTTACCATTAAAATTCGAAGGGTTTAATTAGGGTGTTATAACGTTAGTCGATAGAGGGACGCTATTTCTCCAAAATTTAAGGATATTTATGAGATGTTTAAAAGTAGAAGGTAAAAAATGATTTTATTTAAAAAATTGAAAGATTTTTAGTGGCATTAATTTAAAGTTTAATTTATTAATAAATAAATACATTTTATAAATTAAATTTAAAATTTAAGTATTGAATATAATATTTTAAAAATTAACCTTTTTTAGTGTATTAAGAGGTGTTTTATATAATTACTTATAAAAAAAATTAATGTACATGAAAACTGGTCTAAAAGATACCACGACAGTAAATTATAAAAAACAACTTATAAAGTAAAATTTCATTCACGCCCAAGGATATCACAATAGGACAAGAAAATAAGTAATATTTTTTTATTGCATGTAAGTAGTGGTATCATTACGATATACCAGTGGAAATTCAAATTGACATTACAGTATTAGACATCGTTTTTAATAGAGGAACTGTACCCAGTTTGGTCATCATAGTATTTTGACCACAGCATCACGCCTCCATACTTTGAATCTCCTTTGATGGCGGGAAGCACTTGAGACGTGAGATCGTCTACCGGAATGAACCCACTTCCGGCAGCCTCAGGGGCTGCTGGAAGTCCCAAGAAAATTTGAGTTGCCGGAATATCTTGAGTCCATTGATTCCAGGCATCCACTAAATTTGCAGTGTTGCCGGATGTGTATTGGCAGGGAGGGTTGTTGTAGAATTGGACCCAGACGTAGTCAAAAAGACCTGTTTTCAGGGCATCCCCTAGCCAGGCATCAGGGAAAGGGCACTGAGGAGCCGCCGTCAAGTAAACTTTCTGCCCCTGGTTACTGTATTCGGAAAGGTACTTTGCGAGATCATCCCAGTGCTGGGTCGTCCCTCCCTCGATGTCGAAATCAATGCCATCGAGAACAGCATCTCCGAGCGGGCGATTACTTGATTGTCCTCCGAGGAAGTTATTCCAGAGATAATCAGCAACCTGCTTGGCGTCGTCTGCTGAAGAGAGGTAGTAGCTTCCGGCGCCTCCACCAATGGAAAGAATGACTTTGATTCCGTTTGCTTGACAGGATTGGATATCGGAGCTCAACCCGGAGCAACCATTGCCGGAGGGGTCGCAGTGGCCAGCGAGGTTAATCATGGGTGTCTGCCCATTGCCAAATGTTGCAAGAAAAGCTATGTTGACGAAATTATAGTTGCCGGTGGCACAAGTGGCTGCTAAGGTACCTTCGTTCCCGTTCTGTCCCCAGTAGATAGCAATCCCCCCGGCATCAGCTCCGGAGAAGAAAAAAAGGACAAATAAGCAAGAGAAACCTAACACTACTGCTGATTTTAATGCTATCATCCTGAATCCTGGAAGCTGTTGTTCTTGGTGATTTTGTTTGGAGACCGGGTTTTTATAAGGGAAAAAGTTGGGTGTGGTTTGGTTATTTTCCACAAAAACGCGCATATCCTTGGTCCAATGAGAACGAAGCGTGGCTTCTACGGTGACTTGCTTGAAGGCGATTTGAACAAGTAAGAAACTTTTTGAAAAGTTTTCAACGAGTTTCTTTTCTTAATAATTAAGGCTATTACTTTTTAAAGTTTTTAATTAAATATATAATTTTTTTTATTTTATTAATTAAAGTTATTACTTTTTAAAATTTTTTAATTAAGATATAATCATATACATCTAATTAATTTAGTTATTACTTTTTAAAAATTT